GCCCCAGCAGTGATCACTAGCCCACCGGTTGCAGGTGCCCCAGCAGCCATGCCAAGCCCGATGGTTGCAGTCAACAACACAGCCCCAGCAGTGATCGCTAGCCCACCGGTTGCAGGTGCCCCAGCAGTGCCAAGCCCGATGGCTGCAGTCAACACAGCCCCAGCAGTGATCACTAGCCCACCGGTGACAAAGGCCCCACAGAGCATCAGTTCCCCAGCAGTAGATAGTGCGGCCATCCACTCCTGCCTCCTACGTGCAAACACCTGTGACCTGCAGAATGCCAGTGCAGCAGCAGCAGCACCAGAGCCGACCCCAGAGGAGTTGGAGAGGATTACGGAGATGGAGCACAAAAAGGCCGGGACAATAACCATGTCTGTGTTATGTGTACACATGTGTGGGAGTTGAATCCTGAAAGCTGTTTCTATACCCCAAGCCTCTAATTCCTAAACCAACACAAATCCTAAACCCTGATCCTAAGCCTACAAACCTGAACCCTAAACCCTAAACCCTAAACCCTAAACCCTAAACCCTAAACTCTGACTCCTAAACCCCTAATGGTTATAACCCTAAATCCATGCAGGCTGTGAGAAATCGTCGACAGAAGATTTCTATGAAATTCCTGAGGTCAGTGCGCAGCTACTTGATGAATATAAGTACCTGTTTCCTTGCATTGCTTATAAGCCCTGTACCCTAAATCTTTTACTCCGATCATGATCCAAGGCCCCACTTGCCCACCTGAAGTGGCAAAGAGATACCAGGAGATCAGCCAAAGCACCTCAGGATGAATGGGTTTTCGATGGCCGGCTGTACAAGCCCAGCATGTATCTAAGGTGGAGATCGGGTAAAACGAGGTGCCATGATTGAGGAGTACCTCCAGTGCCAAGGGGACTGGATGGCCAGCAGCATCATGATAAACTTTAACACCTCGATCGCTGCAAGAAGGCGCGGAGAATACCGCCTCATGTCTCGTGCTGCCACTCAGATAGATTGGCTATATCTATATGTATGCACATGAGTGCAATTTATGTCTGCAATGCATGGAACAGTGTCCATCCTATGGTTGCATCCCAGGACCTTCTTCAGAAGTACCACGGGGATGAGGAAGTCGTGGATGGCATAATCCAAGACAAGGTGGGCTCTTACACCGGTAGTATTATTGGCAAGGGGTTTAGGGTTTAGGGTTTTTATAATTCTCTAAATATATAGACCGATCCCCAAATAAATGGATGCCCTAATAGTGGATCGATGAACCCGGTGACCCAAACCTCGGCTAGACCACCTTGTAATCCCTTTAAATTTCCCCATATTATATAAACCCTGAAACCCATAGCACCACCATCTGATTCAGGAGGAAGCTGGATTGTGGGAGTCCAATCCCGACAGACAGGCCATCGGGATTATCGGTTTCAGTGCAAGGGCTTCTTGCGAGTTTGGGGTTTGGGGGTTTGGGGGTTTAGGGTTTAGGGTTTAGGGTTTAGGGTTTAGGGTTTAGGGTTTAGGGTTTAGGGGGGATCACTTATCTATACCCTGTGAGGAGATGCGCCTCTACCTGTGCTGGGATGCATCCCGTGAGTTGCATGAAACTGCATCAGTTACGGATGTGGGTTTCCAGAGCACTGGTGCCATTGCAAATGCAGATGCTGCTGCCATCATGTCCCGGAGCCAAAGACTAATAACTGTTTGTGTTTTGTGACATAGCTAATATTGCCTCGACCCTAAACCCTCAAATCCCCCCACAACAAAAAGAAAGACCCTAAAGCCCTAAAGCCTACATGCCTTAATCATGTCCTGAAGCCAAGACTAGCAACTAGCTGTTGTGACCTATTGCCTAAACCCTAAACCCTCAAATCCCCCCAAACACCAAAACACTAAAGCCCTAAAGCCTAAATGCCTATTAATCATGTCCCGAAGCCAAGACTAACATTTTTTTGTGTGACTTTTTTGCCTATATAAACCCTAAATCCTCAAATCCCCCCCCCAACAAAAAACCTAAAGCCCAAAAGCCTTAATCATGTCCCGAAGCCAAGACTAACAACTCTTTTTTTGTGACCTAAATTGCCTAAACCCTAAACCCTCAAATCCCCCCAATGAAAAAACCCTAAAGCCCTAAAGCCTAAATTAATCATGTCCCGAAGCCAAGACTAACAACTGCTTTTTGTGACCTATTGCCTAAACCCTAAACCCTCAAAAAGACCTAACACCCTAAAGCTTAAATGCCTCAACCTAGAATGTTTGAGGTCCAACCGGGCCAATCTTGGACCCCAGCTGGCATCATCGATGCCGGACATGCCATCGGCTCCAGGACCTGTGAGCTGTGGGGGTGGTGGCGGCAAGCAGGGCAAGGGCAAGGGCAAGGCCAAGGGCAAGGCAAAGAACCAAGGTGGCAGCAACACAAAGGGTGATGGCAAGGGTGAGAATAAGGGCAAGGGAAAGGGCAAGAACAAGGGTGAGGGTGATGAAGAGCAGCCCAAAGTCAAGACCGCAACCCAGGAGGCAAAGAAGGTAGTTGGCTTGCAAATTAGTTAGGTCAGGTGACACACTAAACTGTTTCTTCCCCTTATACTAAGTAATATATAGGCTATTCCTATGAAAGAACCCACACTAAACTGTTTCTTCCCCTTATACTAAGTAATATATATAGGCTATTCCTATGAAAGAACCCAAAAGTCATCTAAGGCCATGAAAACGGCAGCCGACCAGATCCTGGAATGCAGAAGCTGGGAGTCGACCCTTGCAAGCTCCGATACGTAGGGCTCTCAACAACCTTTCAGTGTTTTAGTTGTAAGGTTTCAGAACTCACTACATTAATAAGATGAGGCCACCGGCTCTACGATCGGCAATCCTCGTCGACGTGACAAAGTTTGTCGATGCGTTGGAGAATGCGCGCAAGGATGTGGAGGCCCATTTACCATCCCGGGGTTATTAAGGGCTCTATATCCTGTATATATGATACAGTTAACATCATCTGGTTGAGCATTGGGCCACATTAAAGCTCCAGGCTATTGGTTATAAGGGGAGTTTGGGGTTTATGGTCACTGATAATGTAGCCATCATCACTGTGAAAGCTTCTATTCTAGAATGGTTAGATCTAGATATTAAACATTACCTATTATTATTATTATTAATCAACCTCAAAACCCATATAGCCCAGAGCTTCAACATCTTAATAATGCAAAGGCTCCCCTACTTAACCAGTGATGAGACCCACTATTGAATCAAATGGAAAGCCCAAGCACTCCCCCAAGATACCTTGTAAGCCCAAAGATCATAACTAATTCCAAAGCCACCCCCTATACACAATCGACTTTACTGACCCTCAATATAACCCCAAGCTCCTACACCAATTCCTCAGGTTGAAGACCTTCTGCTAAATTACATGGAAGCTGCCCTGCACAAGCATTCAAAACCCAAGCCCTAAACTCCTCAAGTTCCCTCGGATCCCAAATGATTGCAAGGCTGCCGTCTCTAGCGGAGCAGCGGATGAGATTATTCGTGGACATACGTCCACACTTGTGGCTACGATTGCTGGCTACAAAGAAGCAGCAAAACATGCTCGCAAAATGAAACCGAAGGCCAAGGCAGCACCTAAGGGCTCGGCTGCAGCACAGACGGCCCCCGCTGCTCCGGAAGCCTGATGGGTATGTGTGTGCACAGTCGCTTCGATGCTCGACTTCTGTAGGGATCAGGTGTGGATGCAGGTTTGAGGTGAAGCATACATGTATGGAATCATACATTGCTGAGCCCTGCATTTTGGAAGTCCTGTCATGAGTGATCGAAGCTTGGGGATCTGGATCCTAGTGTTGGCCACCGGAGCATGCATCATCCCATAGATGTGGCATGCATGTCATCTTTACAGATGCTTCAATATATATATATATATATATGCAAGTTGGCAAGTTAGTGCTGATGTCACATGGGGATGGTTACCATGGTCCTTCCCAACTCTGGGCATTTAAAAACATGTGGAAGAGCGAGTGCCACCACTTGCAACGACCGACCGGTCTGTGAAAAAGCTGGGTAGCGCATGCACATGTTTTAGTTGATGGAAGTTCCGGCCAGGATGTTGGGTTTAGGGTTTGGGATATAAGGTCTCCCCAATCACCCCAAACCCCTAAACCCCTAATCTTATAAGGCCCTAAACCCCTAAACCCTAAGCCCAAAAAAAACGTAAAATCCTATAACCCCAGAAAATCCTAAACACAAAGATGCAAACATCAGGTCAGCCCCATTCGGCAACATGCCTTCCCTCCAGGTAGATACTTATTAGGGAGTTTAGGGATTAAGGTGTTGGTTTTTCGGGTTAAACCCTAAACCCTTCACCCTCTGCCCTAAACCCTACACCCTAAACCTTTTAATTGGAAGCCCTTTGTAAAACTTGACAAGCTGGCATTGCAATCATAGCTATACAGCGAGATCCCCTCCGCAGGTTCTGAGTTTGCAGAGCACCTGATATCTACACTGGGCCGTGGAGTGCCCTGCCTATTATTATATATCATCTCAGATGATACAGGGTTTAAGGGCTTGGGGCTCTGGGGTTTAGGGTTGTAGGGCATCGGGTTTATAATTTAAGGGTTTGGGGCAATATTGCCAGGGCTAAGGGTTTGTTGGGATTTGGGGGTTTGGGGGGGTACCTGCCGACCAGATATCCGATGGCTTCCATGGCAGAATGCTGCCACTGTACTGTCATGTACTAAATTACCCCAAACCCCACTATAGCTTGTATAAGGTTTCTTGAGAGTTTTAGCATCATAGAATCATAGGGTTAAGGGCCATATATACATATATATATATGGCTAGCTATATATCGGGCAGGGTTTAGGAGTTCCCGGTTTCGGGTTTTAGTTAGGGCTTAATTCTAAGGGCTTAGGGTGCAAGGTACGAGGGTCTAGGGGATCGGGTTTAAAGTTGGGTATTTTGGTGGATCGATATGCTATAAACCGTACATGTACAATGTTTAGGGAATGAGGGTGTTAAATAATAGGGTAGGAAGCCCACATATATGTATAAGCCTGGACCCTAATAAAGCACAAATTGCAAAGCCATCGTCTGAAACCTTACTAATTTTAAACCTGGGTTATCAGAAATATACACAATCAGCACAATTTAAAACCCCACGAATCCAGGCATCCAGCTGCCGTGAGCTTCAAGAAGCAGCTGCTGCATGCGCTATGGATGCCGGGCCAAGCTTAAAGTTATTTAGTGGTTTGGGGTGTCGGGTTTATTTAGGGCTTAAGGGTTTGGGATACAAGGTAAGAGAGTTTATGGGATCTGGTTTGAGTTATATAAGTGTGTTGGTGAGAGTTATCATCACCCAAACTTAGCATCAGCCCTGTGATCTTTACTTTGAGATTGCTCTGAATAGTTGGGTCCAGGGTTTTGGGATATTTGGGCTTAGCTTAGGGCTTGCAGCCTGCTGGGTGTTGGGGTTATAGGGCTTCGGCAGCTAAGGGTTTTTGGCATAAGTCAGCTTTAGCTTTGGGATGTTGTGGGGGCTTGCAGTCGGGAGCTTTGGGTGTTTCGACTACATAGAGGGGTCAGGGTTTTGGGGTATACTGGTCGGGCATGCAGTTTCTGCTTTGAGGATTTGGCGGTGATTCCTAGCTGAAGTGGTATGTGGTGTGAGATCTATGCAAGGGTTCTACACGATAATGAAGACCATGATGATGATGATTGCTTCAATATATGTATTGAAGCAATCATCATCATCATGATCTTCATTATCGTGTATACTTTTGAGCCATGGACATGTGCAATTCTGCAAGCCACATGGCCTTAAGCTAAGCTCTACAATAAGATTTGAAAGCCATTGGAATTTCTCGGCCTGAAACACTATAAAGTAGAACCTGGTCCTGAATAGCCTGGAAATGCCCAGCAACTTTGAAACTCCAAGCCCTAGAATCCTAGAGCCACATATGTAATAACAAAGCCCTGAACGTCTCCAATTAAAGTCGAAACAGAACAGACCGGTCATCACAAATTCTTAGGCGAAACTTGCAACCTTTCCGGCCCAAACCTCAACACCTATAATTCTGGGACACCTACATCCTTGAAGCTAGTACACCAATGCAAGTTCTCGACAATGCTTCCATTTGGAGGCCTTTTCTGTAGCTCAAAACCCCTTGATGTTTAAAGCCTTAGTTATAATGGAAAGCCCTTTAATCTTAAAGCCCCAAGCCGCCCCAAAGCATGCAACTCGAAAAACCCATAGAGTAGTAAATCCCGACAAGTCAGAGCTACCCTGAAAAGTACTATATATGTAATCTTGAATCGAAGGCTAGAGTCTTACAAAGCACTGACAATTGGCCTGTGAACCTTAAAATAGATGTTTCTTTAAATGCTTATAAACCCATAGCCCTCAATATTCCGGAAATTTCCGAAAGCTAGGACCTAGATTTCAAGAGCCCCATCAGATGGTTGCATGATGGATTCCGACTGAATCATGCCAAGACACTACTGGAATGCTGTCACAAAAATCATGACCCTAAACCCCTAAACCCTAAACCCATGAATTGCCCTGTCGTTTGCAGACCCGAGGCTTTAAACCTTCAACCCTTGGTCCGAAGCCACCTTAAGATGGTATCGAAAACACCTTACAACCTTGAAACCCCTAACTTATGAATCCCTAAAATATCCTAAACAGCTATCAACCCCAAAAACCCTGAGCCAGCAGCTGGATCCAGCAAGTTGTAATTCGAAGTTTCTAAGGTCTTGAAGCATGAACCCCTGTAATGATGCCTCAAATAATATAATAGAACAACTGGAACACCATATTCCTGGCGATGTATCGTATCATCAGTGGATAGCTTCAGAGATGTGGGAGTTATCTCTCTTTAAATATTCAAAGTCTTAGTTTAATGCAACATGTTTTAATTGTTCATGGAAGTGGTTAAACATGATGATTTCTTAGTTCGACAGATATAGCTAATATTAATGAATGATGAGGAGGAATCTTGATTGGGCTGAATTTGGGCATGCCCAGCAGCATTCATGGGGTTATGCAGCCATATTCCTGGCATTGTATTCTTGCATGTTGCTACAATCTGTGGTGAATATTGCCGGAATGTACCACGATCATGCATGGCTGGGCATGTGCATTCACCTATCGACTATAATGTCCTTGGCTTTCTTTTTGAATTGAGGAATCATGCGGTAGGACACTTATCATTTATAACACCATCTATCTATCTATGTATCTATCTATCTATGTATCTATCTATCTATCTATTATTCTCTATATATATATATGTGTGTGTGGTGCATGTGTATTACTCCTGTGCAGTGTGTATGCTCTGATATCCGGTTACGAGTGCAAGTTGACTTATATTTTTATACTAGGCAAGCAGTGCTGCCGGACTATCGGTGTATGGCGGTGTGTAATGCATTACTGTGCATGTGTGAGAGAAAGCATGTCTGATTTATCACCCCAACTTATATGTTAAACCCAAGTCACCATTAATATAAAGACCAACACCATTACTATAATTAGGGGGGGTGCTTTCCAAGCTTAGGGTTTTTTTCTTTCAGTTGCAGCAGCACAGCTGAGGAGAACCCTTCATGTTCTCCATTGACACACAAGATTGCTGCTACTGGTACCTTTGGCCGCCATCCACAGAATATAGAACGCGATCTATATCGTGCATTGGAGCTCCCGCTTGATTCTTGGGTGAAGATAATACTTGTTCTTGTTTCCCTTTATAAATTTTAAAGATAATTCTAAACCTCAGCAAAGAACATTTCCAGAACCTCTTTGATCAGGGTTCAAAATTTCGACTAGATGCATGTCTCAGGACTTGCACCATGTGAAGATTCCTGTCAGAGATGTCTCAAGTGAGACATTTCAAAAAACAACCATGCGAGCTCCGATGATCCTGCCACATGAGCTGCTGTGCTATCTTTCTGAGACTTTGCTCACCATCAGTTGGAAGATAATCTAAGTTTGTTTCAATTGTTTTATAAAACAAACGATACTCGTTCTGATGCCAACACTTGGACTGGCCATTTGTAAATGCTGTGGCTAAGGACAAGCATGGCATTGTCTTCTCTCAGGAAGACCTTGCTGGGTTCTGGGCACACTGGAGGCAGCATATGCCACCACACCCCGCCACTGATCTGCATGTGCCAGTTGGACTTGCTGGAGATGACACACAGTACAACCTTGCTGGGGCAAAGCTGATTGTGAATCTACTTTCTTTTCCGCTATACAACCCTGCATCATCAAAGCTCTGTCGCTGGCCTTACTTTGTGCTGCGCTATGAACTGAGCATTGGTGAACGCACATTAGATCCGATCTGGCGTGTGGCTGCTTGGTCACTCAACATCGCCTTTACCGGAGTACATCCGGCACGTGGACCATGTGGCGAGGCTTGGCCGAAAGGCTCTGCACGGGCAAAACTTGCTGACAAAAAGATGCCATGCAGCTACACCCTCACTGAGCTGCGAGGAGATTGGAAGTACCACCGAGAGACATTTGGTCTGAAAAGACACTACAATGCCAATGCTATATGCCTCTTTTGCAGTGCATCCAAGCGGAGAGGCCCGACACAGCTGCTGAGCTTTGTGATGTTAAGCTTTGCAAGCCTTATATATAACCTTGAATCCTAAACCCTTATATCCCTGTACATGGTTGCAAATAATTAGTGACCTTCCAAGCTTTCAGCTCAGGTTCACAGGCTTTGGGAACTTTGCAAACTTCCAGAGGTTTGATGAATCTGGATTTATTCTGAACAGCATTGGGGCCTATGTTTCACCTATATTTGGTGTTCGAGGCTTTCACCCATTCATGGTGAAGCTGTGCTCAATGCACATGAGCAATTTGGGGGCACTTCAATGGGTGAATGCTGGTGTACTCCTCGGCCTCTTGGAAAGAGGTTTCTTTGGTGATCCAGTACGACTGCCACTCGGCCAGCGCCTTCAGATAGTGACCATTCGCTTCCGCAGATGGTGCAGCATTCATGGTGTTCTGCAATCACAGCCATTCTTGACAGTGGGAATGTTGCACTTGTCATCACCACAAGGGCCTGAACTGACATTGAAGGCTTATCATGGCCGTGTCTTTGTCCAGTTCATGGCTGCTTGTTGTCAAGCTTTGCTGCAGCAGTGTGGGAACAATGACGATGAACTGGTACTGCTGCAGGCAGTTTCGCATGGCTTTGCCAGCTGGCATCTTCGTCTGGAAGCATTTCCACGTGTCCTCACTTATGGGCAGGCGCGCGAACTGCGGACATCCATGGATGAGAATCTGAGAGTGTACAAGCTTCTTGCAACCAGACACTCTGCCGCTGGATCACTCAGATTCCCACTTCGGCCGAAATTGCACGGGCTGCAGGAAATCTGCTATTTTATGGAACAGCATCTGATTAGTTGCCGCTTCTGGCACACTTTCCGCGACGAGGATGCTATGGGCTTCACCAAGCGGGTGTGCAGAAGGGTCCATAAAGGGCTTCTTGAAGTGCGGACGCTTTGCAGGCTCCTGATGCGCTACCGGAGTGAGGAGCACTGAAAACATTGGGCCGAGCCAGCAAGAGCTGGATTTTAGGGTTTAGGGTAGCCTGAACCCTAGGTGTAGGGTCCCGGGTCCAGCACTCCCAGCTTCTAATCCTATGTTTAAGGTTTGGGGGGTTATATGTTTTTAATTATATGTTCTTAGGTCCTAGAACCCAAGCAGTGTGTCAGACATTCTGCCAGCTTCCAGATTTCCTCGACCCTTAAACCCTCTCCTATATAACCTCAATTTAAGGTTGCAAGGATTGAAGATTCCAGTATATATATATCCAACCTTAATATAAGTATATATAGGGAATATTAGGGTGTTATTATAGGTGTGATCCTAGCAATTCTGGCCGAGCAGATAGTGCAGAAGTTTCTGGGCTGAAATAGATGTTCTTTGAAGTCATCTCCTCACTTCATAATTTAAAACCCTCCCTTTTAAATATAAGGGTAAATGTTTTCAGTTATATATACATATATATATAGTATAGATCTTAGACCCTTTTCCGGAACCCTAAGATTAGGATTGTCAGGAGGCCTCAAAAATTAGAGATCGACGAGTCTGCTGGCTGGGCAGATAGCAGTGCAATTCAAGAATCCTCAAGTCTCCTAGTTTTAAGACCCTAAAAGCCAAGTATTATATATAAGAGGACTAACTAGGGTTGATATATATAGTATAGGTCCCAGTGATCGTGCAATATAACTTGAGAGCTTTGACCTAGAATACCCGTCCTAAACATTAAGTTTAGAGTTATTAGAAGGTTTAAAATCGGTATACTATATGCATATATTACAGAAATACAGAAATCGATTCCCCCAGGCCTGAAGCTTAAAACCCTCCAAACCTCTCCGAGTCCTCAACAGTCTCGAGCTCTTCAAATTCCCAAACAACCAAGACAGGTCAGGGTTTACAATTTGGGATTCAGGGATCTTTGAAAGTACCATCCATGGGGAGAAGAGTTTACTTGTTTCAAGCTCATGACTAAATCAAGCCCGGAAGACATAAACCCTAAACCCTAAACCCTAAACCCTAAACCCTAAACCGTGGAATCTCTCAACCTTTGCAATGCAGTATTGGCACCATCTTTGCAGGGAGGCCTACTTGTAAGTCACCTTTGTAACATGGCTAGATCCCAAACCTGGTAATCAATTACTGTCCAGAAGCTGCATCCCTGCAAGCTTCAGCTTGAACTGATATGAAGCCAAGCATCTAATACCCTAAACTGCACGCATGCACTCAAGCCCCAAGCTTGCGATGAACATACAGTACATGCACACACAACACCCACACATATATATGTGTGCATCCATATGTACACATGAGCCGGTCAAAACCTTCTGGTTTAAAATTTGTAACAGGGCCGGGGTGCCCCTTGCATGCCAAAGTTTGTTGCAGTTTTTTTGTGGCAAGGCTGGTATGACAAGGTCCATCATGTGGCATTGCCGCGCAACAAATTTGAAACAAAGCCGGCATGACAAGGGTTTGAAGCAGTTTTACACCATATGGAGGCCCTTAAATTCTGGTATCCGGCTTTCCTGATTTGACGCACCAGAGCTGATAGAAACTATCGTTTTGAATGTTGTTCTGAGGGCCTACTTGGGCCTGTTGAGGGCTAATGTTGCTCTGAGGGCCCACCGGGGCGAATGCAAGACATATTTGCCTACATTGGAGCCCCGGGG